TATTTGTGTTTGTTTTTAGTCTGTAGCATTTGTATTTCGAGAATGTTTCAAACTCTTCTAAATTGTGAAACATAATGTGTTGATTCCATTAAAAAAAATATTTGCCCTGTGACTGAGCTCACTAATATTCATAATTGTAAACAAGTTCTGTTAATCAATGAAGGAAAGATATGTAAATGATATGCAAATTAGCCCCGGCGCTATGCATTTTTTCTGGGGAGAACCCTGCTAAAGCATCCCTTAAGCGAAAAGGGCAAAATTAAATTTAAAGCGGAAATAAAGTATTCTACAGTAGTTGCTGTAATTGGTTAGTAAGGATTCTTGCAGTGAACATCTATACCAACAGCTTGTCTTTAAAAATTTATCATGCAAATACCAAAATCTAATCATGTTTGCTGTTCATCGAAAAGTATTTGTGTCACAAAATTGCAAATTCCAATCCACCCAGTAGAATATTATTCTTGGTAGAATAAAATTTGACACATCCATACAGACAGATAACAGTATGAAATATTTGCACACAGGAGCTAAAAATATGTTACAATATCATATTGCAATTTGATACATGAACGTTCGTAATACTATCTTTAAGTTTGCAAGTGACTAAAGAAGTTGATAATTTGCTGTAAAAATATTATTATACAACTGTCACCGTAAAACCATAAGTTACAGAATGCTGTATTTTCATCCTACCACATTAGAAAATGTGAATTCCAAATATAGATTGATTGCATGCGCAAGAGTCCTCTAATAATAAAAACAAACATGACAGCCAACAGAGTTTGACCCGACTCCACACAATGAAGTTCGTTAAATCTGTTCTAAACTTATTGGATTTCGGCATTCCCATGGTGTATCCTTGGGAGGAAAAGATGTATAATAATAACATTATTATGAGGATACTGCAAAGTATGCACTCAGACAATACGCCGTTGTATCGACTTCGACTGCGCATCGGTCGATACTCTCGCTGTACTGTCTTCGTGCATACTTTTTTTGTATCCTTGTAATGACCTCATAGTATTGGCCACCATGGCAAAGGTGTTTTTTTTATACCCTTAGTAGACAAGTGACAAGCTTCAGTATTTTCCCCAGGAATTTAAACCACTGTGGCGGCCTAATTTGCATATCATTTAAATAATAATAGAAATTGACCAAAGCGCATTTACACCCACACAAACAACATATACTTTCAAAAACAAAGCGGCAGATATTTATTTGCTTCACACAGTGTTATGAACTCATATTTTGGACACATTTGTAATATTAATGAGCTCCGTCACAGTGCAAATATTTTTTTTTTTTGAGTCAAAATATCAAGTTTCACAATTCAGAAGAGTTTGAATTTAAAAATGAAACATTTTCGAAATGCAAATGCTGCAGACTAAAAAGAAACAAATAACCGGTCACTGGTAGCATAGTGGGTGTTGCATCAGACTCATGATCGGCAGACCCAAGTTCAAATCCTACCTTAGGCTACCTTAGGCTGAACATCAAAGAGTCGACCCCTACCCTGGGTGAGTGTGCCACAGACTGCCAATTCCACTGGCAGAGATTCATTCACTAACGAATGCAACTTTGGGGGAACCTTGGTTAAGGTCTGCAGGTGCTTGTGTTCGACCGAGCCTGGTTGACGCCAGGATAGCGCATTAAAAAAAAAGCCATTTGACAGAGAGATGGCCATACAGCCATGTCATGTAGCACATACATGTACAAAAAACAAGCAGCCTCTCGGCTGAGATAGTTCCGCTGTTAGCAAGGCACATGGCAATTAAAGAACAGAAGATATCATTAGAAAATGAACAAATCTGAGAGAGGTCGACATGTAGTACCTATATATGTAAATATCAAAGCAATTGGACTTGCGGTTTTTAACAAGAAGTCGAAAATATCACTTTTTACCAAAAATGACAAAATATTCACCAAAATTAGAGAATTGAAGATATCATCATGAAATGAACAAATCTAAGAGAGGTCTACCCGAGGTACACACACACACCAAGTATCAAAGCATTCAGGCTTGTAGTTTTCAAGAAAAAGTCGAAAAAGTAAAACATTGACACGGACGACGACGGACAATCACTCATATGATAAGCTCCGCTCAACAAAGTCGACAGCGGAGCTAAAAAATGTCACAAGAGACAACAGTGACACTCAATGTCCAGAACTGTCGCCTGGCACAAAAAATATTTAAAAAAAACAAAAAAACAAAACAAATAAATTGTAAAAGGTTAAATGAAACTCATTTGAAACGTTTCAGCCAGGATTATGTTCACGACTTTCATGATTTTATTTATTACAAAATTCTCCTTCAAAAAATCGACAAACAATCGTAAAATTTGAACTAGTTTTATCTGGAGAAATTATTTTTGATTACTCGATCACACAGACCCGCCATGATAGTTATGACGCATTAGTTGACCGGCATGTGTCCTTTGGCCCGGTGGGTCAAAAACGCCATTAACCAATCAGAATGCCGCATTGGTAATGCTGGTAGAACCCGAAGTTATCCCGAATGATCACGATCATAAAAATTACATTGCGGAAGTAAAGCGATGTCGTAGAACAATGTGTTGGTGTGGATTTCAGATGAAAACTGCATAATGGTTTTCGAAAGAGGTGATTAGCAATTTTTAAAAGGTAAAAGAAGTCTTGAAAGAAGAGTTTTTACATGATTCATGATAACAGTTCAAATGTATTTTACCCAATCACGCAATAAACACTTTGTTTTTTCTTGAGTAGCGTAAACTGATTGTGAACTCCGCTTTGCCCATGTTACATCGGGTTGAAATCGATTTTGAAAGAATTTTAGCTTTCAATCTAAAGACTGCGTCTATCGTCAGAAAGTATGTACTTACAAAGAGGTGCTAATTTTACAAAATTTACTTGTGATTTTTTAAAGCCGCTACCACATCACGCGACTATGTCTATTGTTTACAAATTATTATCCACAACTGACAGGATGCATGTCGGTCGGTACGTAAGTATAATAACAATATGACAATAGTCCTGGTCAGAAGCGTTCCCGTGGAGGTCGCTAATTTTGAGTGCTGGTTGGGCCGACTGGCGTGACGAGATCCCAAATGAAAAAAGCACTGTGGCGGTATTGCTAATCACTGTGGCGGTGTCAGACCGGTGTGGCAGCAAATCGAAGCACTGTGGCGGGACCGCCACGCTGTTTACATCCTGGGGAGAACACTGAGCTTGAACAGTAACTACCGTATGTATGTACTTACAAAGAGGTGCTAATTTTACAAAATTTACTTGTGATTTTTTAAAGCCGCTACCACATCACGCGACTATGTCTATTGTTTACAAATTATTATCCACAACTGACAGGATGCATGTCGGTCGGTACGTAAGTATTAATAACAATATGACAATAGTCCTGGGTCAGAAGTGTTCCCGTGGAGGTCGCTAATTTTGAGTGCTGGTTGGGCCGACTGGCGTGACGAGATCCCAAATGAAAAAAGCACTGTGGCGGTATTGCTAATCACTGTGGCGGTGTCAGACCGGTGTGGCAGCAAATCGAAGCACTGTGGCGGGACCGCCACGCTGTTTACA